AAGCACGGCTTACTGGACAAGAGTCAAAGCACGGCTTACTGGACAAGAGTCAAAGCACGAGAATAAAGGGTTTAGGGTTAACTGGTGTAGGGTTAACTTGTTTAGGGTTTAAGGTTTACAATTTAGGGTTTAGGATTTAGTGTTTAGGGTTAAGGGTTTAGTGATTAGGGTTTAGGGTTCAGGGTTCTAAACCCCAACCTAAACCCTAACGTCAGTGGGACGCGTTCCGGTGCTCAAGTGGCGGCGACTATTCTTTTCACGGTTGATGTATAGAACTCCGATTTCCTCTTCCTTCTGTCACCGAAGTTTTGACGCCTCCTCGATCTCCCTCGTCTTTTTCAGTTTGTGACCCGATATAAGCTATGTTTGTTATAGTTTAGAAAACGAAAGCGACGGTTCGCTTCCACACGCAGGGTGAGGGTAGAATGGGGAAATTTTTGTATCATAACCTAGCCATTGGTTTAATATGGCTATTGGATTCACTTTTTAAAAAAATGGTTATAGGCCCAAATTTCACTTGTAAAATTGCTCCTCCTTCAACACCGTAGCTGATGTATTCATCTTAACATCATAGATGCACAATGTGTGAGAACCAAAACTAAATCAGAAATAACCTCTTCTTTACATGTCTTAGTTTTTTTTTGGATTCCGCATCTATTTTAACTTTTTCACATTTAAAGCGCAATAATTTCTGCAAAGTCTACTGTCTACTGATATCTAGCTAAAAGTAATTCTAGTCAACTTTTACTAGATTTATTGGTAAGGGTGTAATGTATGAAAAAAAACAAAATACACTGAATTCAGCTTAGTCTATGACATGTACTGTCAACATATCTTCAATACTTGTTCTACAAGATGGAAATAGAGGAGACTACACAACTCTGAACAGATGGATCTCTATATTCCTTTTGGTCAGCCATTAAGATTTTACGTCCTCTGTTTTTGTTTCCAACTTGTTTTAGCTGATTATTGTAGAGTATTTATATTTGTCCAAGGCTTATCCTAATACTTTCATATTTGTTCTCAATGTTTAGGGATATTAGTTTATAAAACTCTTTTTTTTTGCTGTTATATAAATTAAAATAAAGTTTATCTTATATGGAGACTAAGCATAACTTACTATTTTCTATTATTATTATTTTTCAACAAGCATAACCTAGTATAAATCATGTCTGCAAAATAAGAAGAAAAAAATGGTGTCATTTGTTATTATTATTATTATTATAAGGATAACTTTCATCATTTGTTGATTTTTACAAACCATGAATATACACAAATGCAGCTTGACCAACAAAAATGAATTTACACAAATGCAGAAATTACAGCTTTCTCAATTAGTTAATTTACACAAATCTAGGCTTATACTCTGACAAGCAATACATTTATTTTTGAGTTATTTTCACTTAAAGGCAGTTTTAAGTTTTTTATTTCACTATAAGGCAATTATTGCTCCTAAGGGAGTTTTTTATAACTACAACCCAACTATAAAGTAACTATGTAGATTCTTGTAACTAAAAGAATTTTATAATTTTTTTTTTCTCTTTCTTTGTAACATAAAACAACTTTTCTCTTTTTGTTACAATAATTTTAATGGTTAAAGAGGATGAAGATGAAGAATCTGAGCGTAAAGCTTCGGTGATGAGACGTAACTTGCGTTTGGCCGGAAATGACTTGCGTTTGGCCGGGAATTTTGAATTCTCAGAAAATAATTGTTTAAAACAATAGAGATAGAGAATATAATAGAAGGACTACTGGAAAGACTAATTTTTATATGTTTTGTTTTCTTGTTTTTGGTTTTTAATATGTTAATTTGTGTATATATTTGTAAGTTGTAGAGATAAAACGCAAAAACAATGAAGATTACATGATAACAATCATTGGTGCCTGTGAGTTGTATTTGCAGGAATCACAGAAAATCTAATAGGAAGAAGATGAAGTTATTACGAAATTGCCACTCATTGAAAAAAAATAATTGGATGACCACGTGGATGTGTAAATAATGTTAGTGTACACATGTTCGTCTACATGGATACATTGGTGACCACGTAGATATGTACATAATGTTAGTGTACATAATATTAGTGTATGCATGTACATGTTAAAGAGATAAATTTGTATTTATATGTACAAGGACAAAGAAACATAGTTTACGTGAATTAAACAACATGATTCTATATGTACATGTTCACATGTTTCATGTGTACAAACAAAACATGTGTACATTGTATATTACTAAAGCAATGTTCATAAAACTGTGTATTCTCATTAACATCTTAAAATCATGGATATGTACAATTCGGTGTACATGTGAACAGTGGAAAATATTGCAAATTGCAAATTCATATAACAAATTCACCATGTATACATGTGAATCTGATGTACATGTGTATTGTTGTACATATAAATGGTAAAATTATTACATATATATTCATCAAATATAATCACTGTATACACATATATTTCATTGTATATGTGTACATCTTCACATATGATATAAAATAAAATAAAAGAGTAAGAAATCACAATGTTTCGAAATGTCCTTGTGTACGTTATTTACAAAAAAAAATTATAGTTACAAATGTAAAGACAAATACGAGTGTCCATGTGGAGACCTTATTTCATGTACACATTTTGTATTGTCCACATGGATACTATAAATTATCTATTTTAGTGGGCATTATGATGCACATTATCAATGTGCTTGTCGATACCTTAGTTCTTGAGTGTAAGAAAGTACAATGATAAATTCATTGTATACATATTTCAGTAAACCATAAAAATATGGGGGATACGAAGACATATTTACTAAGATACTCTAATAACTTAGATACCAGTGACATATTTTGTTTGGTTGCGTAATGATCTAATTACAAACCTCATTGTTTGATTTTGTTTGTTTAAGGTTTGATGTTCTTGGAAAACTTCGTTAGGGTGTACACACACAAGAGTGTACATGTGTACAAAACAAATAAGTTTCGTGTACAAACCTTAATTTTTTTGATTTTTTTTTATTAATTATGCAAAATTACAAAAATAACCTTGTCTTCTTCCTTGGACATTGTCGGCCATAAACCCTAATTGCTGCCTCTCTTACTTATTTTTATGATTCTTTACTTTCTCCATTTGTTTTAATGTCTTTTGCCTAGATGTGCTAGATTCCAATTTTGGTTCTATTGCAAATTTCATTTCTCGCCAGATCTCATTGACAAAACAGAGAGTCAGCTACGACGGAGCAGAGACATGGCGACTGAGAACATCATTTGGAGATAGAGAGGTCATGGGCTTGAGCCACGCGACGAGACGCGACGAAGAGTAATGACCACCGGTAGACGAGAGCTCACATCGATGGCATCTTGGACGGAGGAGATGAGCATGAAGAGGAAGAGGAAGAGATAAGAACACAATGGTTGAAAAAAAATCTGAAGAAATCGATTTTACTTTATAAAAAAAAAAGATGAAGAAGAACAAAATGTGGATCCACTTTGTACTTTTTGTTGTTAAGAGATTATGTTAAATAAACTAAAAATATATGTTAAATTTAGTTAAAGTAGTGAATACTTAACTGTAGGTTAATTTAGTTTGTTTGTAACAAGAAAGTGGGGTTAGTTAAATAAAACTACCCTAGTAGCAACAACTGCCCTATTGTGATAATAAAAACTTAAACTACCTTAGAATGATATATTTTCTTTATTTTTTGTTGTTATGAATGCTTGAAAGCTTTTCTTTAAGCTGAGCCATTTTTTTAATGTTGCTTTTTGTTTCGGGGGATTGGGATGCTCATCACATATTTCGGTGACATTATTTTTTTCTTTCCCAACCAAAAATTAAAGAGAATTATGCTAAAAACGATTAGAAAAACAGCTTTATTGTCTTCTTATGTCATTTCTAACTCAACTCCATATTTTATTCTAAAATGAAATAAAATGAAATATAAAGCAGAAAACACTCTAACTATACTATATTTTATATTTTATAATAGAGTTTACTACATAAATGAAATAATCTGTTTTTTATTTGTTCACCACTTTATTATGGAATGAGAAATAAAGTAAAATTTGAACATTTTTACTCTATATTCTCTTTTACTCCATTTTGGTGAAAATATAGAGTTTTACAATGAAAATGTTCGTATTATAAATATTTTCTATCCATTTTTCTTCTTTTTAACTTTTCTATTATAAAACTTAATAAAATAAATAGTTTTATGAATAAAAAATATTAAGAAATAGACACAAGTGATGAAATGTCTACATACAAATATTATTTTTTATATTTTGAAAAACTTGTTAAACTAAAATTTATAATTATGTTCTATGAAAAGTAAATTTTATATTCTACGAGAAATGACATAGTAGAACTCACTTTCCACGTTAAACAAATAACACTATTTTTTAAAAAAATAGAAAATTTACATTTGTAAAGAATTCTACATTTGTAAAGAATTCTACATATGAAAAATGTGACTCTTAATGTAAATGATTCTACAAAATAACTTAATGCAAATTCTACGTTTTAAACCTATTCTAAAACTCTCAAAATACATAATATAGACATAACTCAGAAGTTTACGTATAGTAGAATTTACTTGAAGGAAAATGTTCTTGTTTCTATGTTGTGTTACTTGTGTAGAAAGCGCATTCTAGGGATAAAATAAACAAAAATTCTGAAAATTTTGGAAAATAATTATGAAAAGTTTCTAAAAAGATTTGTAATCTTTGTAGTTGCCATAACAGTTAGGGAACAATTTCGCTTGTCAAAAAACCCAAAACAATATCGACTAAAAGTTGGTTTCTTCATCAAACCTAGATTTCTCCATTGGTCTTCTTCTGATTTTACCAAACATTTCTTGTATGGTGTATGTATATACGGCTTGTGGTGTATGGGAATTAAGTACAACAATGGAAAGTGTGTTGTCAGTTAGATGAAAAAATGAATCGATTACAATTATTAGAATCGAGTTCTACCTTAGAGGATTTTAAAAAAAAATGGTTTTCGAGGATTTTAATATGGAAGAAGATAAGTTAGCCGATTTGGAGTTGAGTTATTTACCTATTAAGTTGATCAATACATCAACATATCTATCTGTGATTGCAAACGATCGATAGCTTAAATTTTTTTGTTGGTTTTGTTAAAAAGAATACATCGACTCGATCGTGTGTCAAGGTTGAGAATCTGAATTAAATGTAAACTTCATTTTTCAAAAGGCATCTTAGAAATTACAAAACTATACATTATAAACTAACAACTAATCAATTAGGACCCCAACAGCTCAAATACATAACCGTTCTGAGCGATTCTTCACACTTCTTCACCTTTTCACTCTCACCGGACGAGTTAACAGCGGCGGCAACAGAAGACGGGAACCTTTTCCCCTGAGAATAAGTTCTGACATTGTTACGGAGATGCTGATTCACCGACCGGAACATGTAGTTCCACCGACAAAGACCCAACTGGTCTTTCAACGTCTCTACCACTCCGATGCTAACTGCCACCGTCCACGCTTTGCTGGTAGAACTCATCTTTTCTTCACTTTCACTTTACAAATCTTTTTTGGATTACGAAAATAGTGGTTTGTGATTTTGATGATTTTAGAGAAGTAAAATTGAATGAATATATAAGATGCAGAAGCCAACAATAACTGACGTTAAGTTGGAGTGAAACCAACAGATGTGGCTGCTGGTTTTCTTACTTTACCACCGTCTGGGTCTTCATATGACAATTTTATTCTTATAAAGAACAATAGATAAGGGGTAATATTTTTTTTTGTTAGATCGTGGTTTGAAGAGTATGCCGCATGTGCACCTGGTTTCAGGATTGTTTGCGTTTCGTGTTCGTAAGTTAAATATTTTAAAATAAACGTGAGTGAACTCATCAAGTCAAAAACAGAATTAAGTGATAAAGAATGAATTAATTTGGTAGGTAACCAAATGCATAGCCAAAATCGGCAACAAACACAAGGTGGTACTATTTAGGCTATGCATAAAAATTTAAATAATATTATGCCATATATATTATTCTTTTTCTTACTTTTAAATTTTGCTTATGTTACTAGCGTTTTTAAACATAAAATAACAAATGATTTTATTTTCCATAAAAGCATCAGTGTCGGATAACTTATTCCAGCTATAGGTTCACTAACCAATATGATGGTGTTATTTCATATTTGATATTTAAAAAAAAAAAAAAAATCTTGTTAAGTTATATTATGTTTTAGAAACAAAAATATATAAAAAAAAAATATTTACAAAAACAGAAAAAATATTTATAATTTATTTTTAATATTATATTATGTTTTTAAAATAAAAAGATAAAAATAAAATGAAAATCAGTAATAATTACAAAAAGAAAAATTTAAAAATCTTATAATATATCTTTAAAATGAAAAAAAAATATTGTTACATTATATCATGTTTTTAAAATAAAAAGATAAAAGTAAATAGAAACAGTATAATTGGTTAGTATTAATTAGTTGATTTAATGTTTAAGATTTTTCCAAAGGGTTTATGATCTACCCAAGGGTTTAGGGTTTAGGATTAGGATTAGGATTTAGGATTTAGTGTTTTATTTTTAAAATATTGTTTTTAAGATTTTTTTTTGCGTTTTTTGTAATTTTATTTTTTATTTTAAAAACATAATATAACTTAATAAGATTTTATTTTCTTTTTAAAAAGATATCAAATATGAAATAACACCATCATATTGGTTGGTGAACCTAAAAGTTCATAGGAAAAATCTTAAACATTAAATCAAAAAAAAATAATACCAACCAATAATATTTTTTTCTATTTATTTTTATCCTTTTATTTTAAAAACATAATATAATGTAAGAATATTTTGTTTTCATGTTAAATATATAGTAAAAGAATTTTTTTTTTAAATTTTTTTTGCAATTATTACTGTTTTTTTTTAAAAAAAAAATCATAATGTTAAAATATTTTTAAAGATATTCTTCATTTTTTGTAAATATTATTATTTTTATTTATTTTTATATTTTTATTTTAAAAACATAATATTAACAAGATTTTCTTTTTTTTTAAAGATATCAAATATGAAATAACACGATCCTATTACTTGGTGAAACTAGGTACAAGAATAAGTCGTTTAGATTTAGATTTTGGTATATATATAGCCTTTTGGGTTTAAATTTAAATTTTGAAATTAAATTTTGATTTTATAATTTTTCTTTTATGTAATTATGAAGATTAGAGTTTTAAGGTTTATGTCTGGGTTTAGGATTAGAGTGTTTGAGGCTAAGATTTAAATTTTAAAATTTGAGATCTGAGATTCAATTTTGAAGTTAGGTTTAAGCTTTGAGGGTAGAGTATGAACATATTAGAGTTATAATGTTTTTGTTTTGAGTTTTAGCTTAAAAATATGTTTAAGATTTTAGGATTTTATTTTCCCAAAAAAGATTATAGGATTTTAAATAGCCACAAAATGTGGCAAATTTGTGGATATTTTATATATTATATAATTACGAACTAGAGTTTAATCCACGCGTTATTAGTTTTTATTTTATTTTTATAAATTATGTAATAACATTTTTAAACATATAAATATAGGTTATTTCTAAATTTTTAGGTTTCTACAAACCTATCCAGACTTGGAAGAATCCGATTCGAATTCTGTTCAAAAATTTATAATATCCGAACACTGTTTAGTTTTAAAATCCAAAAGAACCTTCATACCCAAAAAATTGATCTATATCCGAACTTATACCTGAATGCTCATGTTTAACTAATTATATAAACAGAAAATAATACTTCTTTTTTAACCGGTTTGAAAAATTGTGTTCTAATGGAACAATTTCATTCAAACATGTAAAATAAATGAAAATCAGATTATTATGGTAAATACAATTAATAAAGTAGTTTAGAAGAGTAAAAAAAAAATATAAAAGATATAATAAAATACTTAGCATGGGTAAGTTCTGTTTTATACTTCTTTATTAATAGCTGTCAATTTATTTGCAAAGAAGCAACTAATAAAGTAGTAAAAATAAAATAAATAAAGAAGAAGAATATATAATAAAATTTGTTGAAATTAAGCATAGCTCTGTTTTGTATTTCAGTTTTAATAGTATAGATATATTGTGACTAATTCATGTTAAAAATATATTTTTATGGATTAACTTGGATATTATCAATGTTTTATTTGTGAGATATAACTAGGCATCAGGATCTTTGGACCAAGTGGATGGTATTAGCATAGAAAAGGCTCAATGGAAGAAACCCCTAATGGAACCCTTAAATGTAATGTGGGATCCTCGTGGATAAATCCAAATCAGTCGAGTGGTGCATCTTGGATTCTTCGTGATGAAAAAGGAAGTACAATCATGCATAGTCGTCGGGCTTATTCCTACATGCGTACAAAGACCAAGGCAGACCTGTGGGCTCTCTTCTGGGCAGTGGAATGTTTGCACAACCTTCACTTCTCCAATATTATTTTCGAGACCTCTTCAGAATGCCTACATGTTGCTATTACAAACCCAGCTGCTTACCTTAGTCACAGCCACATTCGTCAAAACATTTTCTGGTTTCTGTCAAGAATTGATTCATGGAGTCTGGATCATTCTTTTTTGGAACGTAATGTAGTTGCAACGGCTATCGCTCTTAGTGTTACTCGGGATCGGCGCCATCAGTCCTATATCGCTCGGAATGCTCCTTCGTGGCTACATCATCTACTCGTCTTGGAGGCTCAGTAAGTAAGGATGTGGGTAAACAATGTTTATTTTCTTTTTCTTCCTTCCTTTTGTCTTGTGATGGTGTCAACTGACATCTCATTTTCCTGTTGTTAGTTTATCAATTTTTTGTCTTCCCTCGTACTTTGTTTTGATCTCAGTGTTATAGAAAAAATAACTAGGCACAATTTCGTGACAATTCTTGTTTTGAGCTACGGTTTTGTTACAAATAGTCAAGTTTCAGTTTTGTTACTTCTCCTTGTTTCTGTAGTTATTTTTCTTCTAAAAAAACACGACTTATTTGTGACTATTTCTTGCCTATACCCATAATTCTACTATTGTAATTCCTATAAATCTAGTGAAAGTTGCCAGTTCTGCTAGGAGAGAAATAATATTTTTTAAGAAGTCATAGCCATTTTTTTGGTGATATACTCTAAAGTTTAAACAATAGTAAGTGTAGTAAGAAATGAAGAAGAGAGAGAGAGGGATTATAGACCTCTTAGACCATCTTCAACCCATTTTTATAATAGAATAATATTTAAAATATATGCAAAAAAATAGAGGCATAATTTTTGCTCTAATGTGTTTTTCTATAATAGAGAAATGCTATATTTTCCTCTATAAATAGAGAGATGCTATTTTTTTCTTTACATTTAGGGGAGAAAATAGTATTACTTTATTTATAGATGCAAATATAGTATTCAACTATTATAGAGAAACACATTGGATCAAAAACTACATCTATATTTTTTCCTTTGTTTAAGAGATCTGTATTATAGAGGTGGGTTAGAGATGCTTAGCTTTTTATAATTTTGTGAAACACTTTAAAGAAGATATAAATAGTAAAAAATGTTTTGCTGTAATTTTTTTCTATTGAAAACCGATCACGCTTAGCTCCAATAAAGTAGACTATCAATAAGCCAACCGGTTAACTTGGATATTGTATTCGCGTTCTCATTCGACATGAGTTTTTTGTTTGTTTTATAACGATAGTAGAACTATAGATTTATTGTTTCAATCCTAATGTATGAACTCAAAGATCAATAAAAATAACACAACTCTCTTAAGAATTTAAGCTCTCACAAGATTTCTAAAACTTATAAGTTATATCATAAGTTGACAGTTCCTTAGAGCATGTTCATTGCAAGAACACCTAAAGGTCCCTTAAGTGGGCCTTAATGACTTTTTAATTATAAAACTTGAGATAAGAGACTTGATTAAGGGACACACAATTATAAGGGTTTATTGGTGGTTCCTTAATTAAAAATCTTAAGAATAAAAAAATAATAAATTTTTTTGAACATAATTTTTTTTTAAATTTCAATTTATTTATGTTATAATACAAAGTCTAACATAACATTTTAGACAAATATATATAAATAAAAACATAAAAACATAAAAACTAATATTTGTAGAATAAACGATAATAATTTCAATTAAACATAGAACATCAGTTGATGTCTTGATCATCTCCAAATTTATGCCATAAATGTTCGACTAAATCACGTTTCAGTTGTTGATGCGCTTGTTTATCCCGAAGTCTTGTTCGAACAGTCATATGATTGGCGATATTTGTAGGCATATCTGTAGAATATGTGAGATCGACATGTGAACTCCCGCTGCTTTCTCCTTGTTCGAAATCAGAAACATCATATTGAGTGTATCCATCTCGTTCGTCTTCTACTGTCATATTATGGAGTATGCTACATGCTCTCATAATCTTCCCAATCTTTACTTTATCCCAAGAAAGTGCCGGATTTTTAACAATGGCAAATCGAGCTTGCAAGACTCCGAAAGCACGTTCGACATCTTTTCGGGCAGCTTCTTGACGTTGAGCAAATAAAACAGCTTTCGGCCCTTGTGGAAGTGGAATAGATTGGATAAAAGTTGCCCATTTCGGATAAATACCATCGGTAAGATAGTAAGCCAAATG